ACTGTCTCTGTCTCTGTCTCTGTCCCCTTTGTTTAAAGGAGACAGTCTCTGTCTCTGTCTCTTTCTCTGTCTCTTTCTCTGTCTCTTTCTCTTTCTCTTTCTCTGTCTGTCTCTGTCTCTGTCTCCTTTGTCTGCAGGAGACAATCTCTGTCTCCTCTGTCTCCTTTGTTTATATGAAACAGTCTCTGTCTCTGTCTCCTTCTCTGTCTCCTTTGTTTATATAAGACAGTCTCTGTCCCTGTCTCTGTCTCTGTCTCCTTCTCTGTCTCCTTTGTTTATATAAGACAGTCTCTGTCTCCTTCTCTGTCTCCTTTGTCTGCAGGAGACAGTCTCTGTATCTGTCTCCTTTATTGTGTTGTATAGCTTTATATGTTTCCATTTGTTTCTTTTTTTGTTTGTTTGTCTGTAGCTGTCTGTCTCCACTGTCTCCTTTTTTTTAATATAAAGGGATAGGGGGGGGTCTCTTGCTGCAGCGGTGCAGATACACACATATATATATACAAAGACAAAGGCAGAGACAAACGGAGACAGAAACAAAGACAGAGACAAAGACAGAGACAAACGGAGACAGAGACAAAGACAGAGACAGAAGGAAACGGAGACAGAGACAAACGGAGACAAAGACAGAGACAAACGGAGACAGAGACAAATGGAGACAGAGACAAATGGAGACAGAAACAGAGACAAACGGAGACAGAGACAGAGAGAGAGACAAAGACAGAGACAGAGACAGACAAAGGCAGAGACAGAGACAGACAAAGACAGAGACAGACACAAAGACAGAGATGGAGATGGAGATGGAGACAGAGACAAAGAGACAGATAGACAGAGGCAGACAGAAGGAGACAGGGCTGCAGACAGAGACAGAAGGAGAGAGAGATACAGACACAGACAAAAGGAGACAGATACAGACTCAGAGAGAGATATATATAGAGACAGAGAAAAGGAGACAGGGGGAGAGGAAGGAGAAGGAGAGTAAAGAGAAGGGGCAGATAGAAGAGACAAGCAGCAGCAGCAGCAGCAGCAGCTGCTGCTGCTGCTGCTGCTGCTGCAGCTGCTGCAGCACGACAGCAGCAAATAAAAACAACAAAGACAAACGAAAGGGGACAGGGAGATAAAGAGACAGAGAAAAGAGAGCAGCAGCTACAGTAAAGGAGACAAAAGGAGACAGATAGAGAGACAAAAGGAGACAGATAAAGAGACAAAAGGAGACAGATAAAGAGACAAAAGGAGACAGTTGTTTCT